TCTGTTCATAGATGCACCTCGGTAGGCCCGCCAACTTCCGCGCAGAAGCCGACGATCGCCACTTCTCCCTTCGGTCTTGATCCGAAGTTGCAGAAAACCAGCGGCGCTGAGGTCTCCGATGTATAGCTGGAGGGAGTGGCGGCGGACCTCGGGTCGATGGAGGCACCGCGGCCACTCGCGGGCCGAAGAAGGGCGCGCGTAGCAAAGGGACGAGCGCAGGTTCACTCGAATCAAACGGCGCGCGCAAGGGCCAGTCAGGAAGTGCGGCGGCAGGGAGCCAACCGCGACGGGGGCGCCGCCGATGGCGGACTACTCGGACGCGGTCTTCGGAGCGGCGCCATCAGCGATCGAGGCGCGGAGGAGATCCCCCGGACAATTTCTCGCTGAGAAATGGCCTCGGCGCACGCTGGCTGGCGCGGGTGCGCCGCGAACATCCCGCGCGCCAGGCTGCATGCCGGCGCATTGACCCATGGATGGCTATTGCTCTCAAGCCTGGGTTGGGCAAAGAGTGGGCTGGAAGTGCATGGAAGGCTGCAAGGGCTGGGGTCGCGGCCAGGCCGGAGAAAGATAGACGGGGCTGAACTGGCGCAGTAAATTCGGCGGCGATCGCGGCCTTGCTAAAAACTGGGCTAGGAACCAATGGGACCTTGGAACGGGCGCAGGGACAATGGGGTCAACGGCGCGCCCCTGGTGACGCGACCAGCGAGGGCCCACGCGCAGCGGCAACGCTGGAGGATATCCTCGCGGACCTGCAGGACTGAATGCCTTGGCAGCGCACGGTGAGCACTGGCATGGCAGCGGACTTGAGCAACGTGGGAATCTACGAGATGCGCGACAACACAGGAACGCACTAGAGAAGCGGGCAAGTATGACACGGCGTCCTGAATGAGAAATAGGATTTTCTCGCGAGGGAACAACCGACTCCATCCTTCGCCCGAGATTTCGGCTGCAGGGGAAGACCGACGTTAATCGTGATTCGGGATACCGAAACAATGAGGGCAAGGAGGACCGGAAACGTTCCCATGTCTCTGGCTGCGTGGCGTGCCACCATCGACGTGGAATCATGTGGAGAAGCCGACATATGAGCCCAGAGACGCTTCCTTCGGTGGGATCAAGGACTTGAAAAGATTCGCTATGATGCTGGTTGGGGGAGATGCTGCAGGCGTTAACGACTCGTCGGGCCCTGACCTAAGACGCACCGGCTGAGCTTATCAATTCGCCATAATCATCTCCAGGCCCGAGCTGGGGGTCGAGATGCTGAGCTAAGAAGCGGACGGCTAATCGAGGAAAGCAGACGGCTTGACTGGCGGCCTTCGAAAGTCTGCTGAAGCAGGAGAAGAATCTTACCTTTGACCAACAACTCTTCGTACGTGATGAAGGGAGTGGGTCGTCTTCTTGGAAGTGGCCTCCGAGCCACCGACATCAACGAGCGCTGGCAGTCGATCCACTTGGTCAAGGCCGAGGGCCACCACTCGGATCAGCAGACTCAGGTGACTGGCTCCATGGCTAATGAGGGCGCGGGGTGTTGGGCGAAGAGGGTGGCAGCTGACGCTACCGTAGCGACTTCGGTGGAGCATGCTCAGGCCATTTGAAGGACTGTCAGTGGGAACCTTGCCGCGGCTTTTCCGGCTGCAGCGGAAGCCGAGCCAAAGTATGGTACCGACGCACTGCATGGCTAAAGGCTACCCGAGGACAGCGCACACTTCGGAACGCAATGTGTCCCCGCTGACCCGCACGGAGGGGGGCTGACGAACTAAGCATGTGCCGTGGGACTGCCACAGGGTCGGGGGACGCCCCCGCGGACCCCAATAAAGAACAAACCAGCATATAACGGACTAGTGCGTACCAAATGGGTGACACGGGGTCGGGGGCTGTCCCCGCGGACCCACAAGGAAAGGTAGCTAACGGAGTGCACTTGCTCATCGACCATAGTGCAGGCACGGCGTCGGGGGCTTCCCCTTGCAGGCCAACAAGAAGCGGAGTCGAGGGAGTGCGTGCGTTCCTGTGCCATGGTGGAGATACGGGGTCGGGGGCTGCCCCCGCGGACCCACATCATGGGGCTGCTGACAGAAGGCCCTTTCTTACGCGCATTGGTGTTACGGGGTCGGGGGCGCACCCCGCGAACCCACTCGGCGCACGTGCCAGTAGCTGAGCTGGCGGGCGGTCATCCTCCTTCTTCCTTTCCTCCTTCGCCTAATCTGCGCCGCGCTGGTGTGGTGTTCATGTCAGCTAGGGGTAGGGAGTGGCCCGCGGAATACTAATACATATCGCTCCCCTTCATATCATCAGCCTGCGTCCTGTCCCATTCCAATTCCTCTTCGGGTCCTCCGTTCCTGCATTTCTGTTTCTCCTCTGGTCCTTTCCCTCGTCCTCGTTCGCACCCACCCTCTCCTCTTACTCATCCTCCTCCCCGCAGTCCTCCTCCGCCTCCTCCTCTTCCCCTCGGCGTCCCCCTGTTCCCCTTCCTCCTGCCTAGCTGTGCGCCAAGTGCCTATTACAGAGGGCGTGTCCATCTCCCCCATCGCCCTCTCCCCCCTCATCCTACTCACTTTCTCTCCCCTCCCCCTCCTATTCCGCCTCCTCTGTCATATCCTCATACGTCATCCTGCCATCATTCTTCCTCCGTCATCCCCCCCTTTGTTCTCGTCATGTGCCACGCGATCCTCTTCTTCCTACTCCCCCTGCTCTTCCTCCTCCTCCTCCTCAGCCTCCTCCTCCTCCTCGCACTCGTACACCCGATTCGTCTCTACTTCTGTCTGTCACTCATCCTCCTCCACTGCTCCTCAATGGTATCCTCTTTCCCTGCTCCACCCCCTCCATTCCTTTTCCTTGTCGCGCCCCGAGGCTGGTCGAAAGGGCGGGCTGGGCGTTTCGCCTGAGACCTCCTCTCCATGTATGAGCATGGGGCTTGAAATTTGCAACGGCTTCACGGATGGAGGGCGGGCGGTTTCCAAAATGTGGCTCTCGCCTCAGCGCCACGCGCACACGTCGCAAAACTTTGCAAGGATGTTGCTGGTCGAGGCCGGGTTATCTTCAAATGTTGATCCCGCTCGGGCGCCGCGCACACTGGTCGTCAGCAGCGCAAAGGGTTTCACGGATCGAGGGCGGATGGTTCTCGTAGTGTGGCTCTCGCCAAAGCGCCGCGCACCAGTGCCTAAAACGCCAGCAGAAGCTTCATGGACGGAGGGCGGGCCGTTTCCAAAATGTGGCTCTCGCTTTTGCGCCGCGCACGTTGGTTCAAAACAAATGCAAGAGTTTCGTGGATCTGGGGCGGCTTCTGTTCAACATGTGGTTCTCGCTTCAGCGCTGCGCACATTCGTCTTAACACATTTGCAACTTGTCCACGGCTTCCCGTGGTCAACATACAAAGAATTTGCGTTCTCGTGCGGCTTAGGCCTGTCATAGCAACAATTACATTGACTCGCGGTGCTGAGGTCCCAGGAATGGTGTTCTGGCGCGACTCAAGATCACCAGGACGACAGAGTCAGGTTGATTCGTGACGTTAGGGTTTCCGAGACTGGTGTTGTGGCACGCTTCAGAATCTTCCAACGGTTGTCTCCCGGTGGGGCAGCTTCCTAGGTGGAAATGAATCCTCGTAGGTGTATCTGCAAAGGGAGCTTGGAGGGAGGGTGCGTTCCAAGATCGTTGGTGAGCCTTGGGTTTGCACTGGCCCTCCTCCGTCATCATCATCATCATCATCATCATCATCATCATCATCATCATAATCATCATCAGCAGCATCATCGTAACTATTATCATCATCATCAGTATCATCATCATCGCCATCAGCATCATCACCATCACTATCATCATCATCACGACCATAACCACCATCATCACCATCACCATCACCATCACCATCACCATCACCATCATCATCATCATCATCATCATCATCATCATCATCATCATCATCATCATCATCACTACCGCCACCACCACCACCATCACCATCGCCACTATTGTCACCCTCGTTTTAGCAGATTCCCCCTCCTCTTTCGGATCCTCATGCGTTCTCCTGTCATCTCCTCCCCTTTCTCGTCCTATGCCACGTGCTCCTTCTCCTCATCCTCCTCCTCTCCTGCTACCCGTACGCCCGATGGTACTATACTTGTGTCTCTTACTAAAACTCCTCCACTCCTCCTCAGTGTTGTCCTGTTCCCCCTGCTCCTCCCTCCTCCTCCTCCTCCTCTTCCTGCTCCTCCTCCTCCTTCTCCTTCTCCTCCTATCCTCCTCCCCCTCCACCACTCCATCCCCCTCCTCGGCATCACACCCACCATCATTACCATCATCATTATCAGCATCATCATCATCATCCTCATCAACAACACCATTATCATCATGATCAACATCACCATGATCATCATCACCACCATCACCATCATCCTCATCATAATCTCACCACCACCACCACCATCACCATCACCACTACCGTCACCATGACCACCACCACCATCATCACCATCATCTTCACCTCCATCCTCCTCTTCAACATCGTCCTCCTCGTTCTCTCTATATATGCACAAGCTTTATGTTTGTTTTCTCTCTATCCCCCTCGTACTGTCTCGAGTCGCATCTCTCGCTTTCTATCTCTCTCGCTCTCTCACTCTCGCTCGTTAGCTCCCTCGCTCTCTATTGTTTGTTGTTTCTCTCTCTCTCTCTCTATGTCCCTCTCTGTCTCTCTCTTTCTCTCTCTCTCTCTCTCTCTCCCTCGCTCTCTCTCTCTTCTTCTCTCTCTCTCTCTGTGTCTCCTCTCCCCTTCCCTCTCCCTCTCTATCAACACATGTATGTATGTATATACATATATATGTAAGAATATAGATGTATGTCCTCTCTGTCATATTTCTCCTGCCCCGCATCCTCATCCTGCTCCTCATCCTGTTCCTTCTCCTCGTCCGTCCCCCGCTCCCGTCGTCTCCCTTTTCCTCCATCTCGTCCTCCGACTTCCCTCCCTGCCCCTCCTCCGTCTCCGGCTCCCCCCGACCGCTCTCCCTGGGTGCCCTTGCATCGCGTCGTTTCCTTGATGCCCCTCTGCTCCATGCCGACCGTGGACAGGCTGTGCTCGACCTTCCCATGTGCGATGGCGCGCAGGCGGGGGAACGGGGGCAGCAGGGACAGGGGGTCCGTCTCTTCCTCCTCCTACCGCCTCCTCCCATCTCCTCTTTATCATCATCCTTCCTGCTCCTCTTCCTCCTCCTCCTCCTCCTCCTCCTCCTCCTCCTCCTCCTCCTCCTCCTCCCCCTCGCCCTCGTATCCATTTATCCTGCTGCTCCTCCTGCTCCTCATGCTCGTCCTCCTCTTCCTCCTAGCCCTTCGTCCTCCATTATCGTCCTCCTCCTCGTCATCATGATCCCATCAGCCCTCTGGGCGTAGGTGGTTTAACAACTGTTTCTTCTACCTGCCAAAACCATTCCTTCCCCTGCTCGGGGGACGGCTTTCCCTGTCCACCTACCCCCAATCCCCTGGGTCTGGACGGGGCGCCCCGCGAGGGGTTAGAGCGCCCAAGATCGCTCAAGATGGCTCCAAGAGAGCCTCGGAGAGCGCAAGATGGCGTCCAAAATGGCTCACGATAACTCAGGATGGCTCAAGATAGCTGCCGACGCACATTTAAGAGTCCTCAAGACGGCCCCGAGATGGCTTCAGGTGCCGCACGAGCCCTTCAAGAACCCCCCCGGGAGGCCAACATGGCTCCAACACCTAGACAGGAAATCAATGACTTTGCCGTCTCGTGGCCCTAAACGGATCCAAAAACCCAGAACCTCAAACCCATGGAAACCGGAATCCCGAACCTGGGGAACCCGTAACCCGGGAATCTGGGAACCTGGAATCCGGGAACCCGGAACTCAGAGAACCTGAAACCCAACAGCGCCGAACCCGGGAACCTGGAACCAACATGGAACCTGCAACCCAGGACTCGGGAACCCGGAAACCGGGAATCCGGAACCCAGACCCCAGGAACCCAGAATGCCAAACCCAGAATCCAGGAACCCGGTAACCGGAACCCAAGAAACCGAGAATACCCTGGAACCCGCGAGCCCGGAACCCTGGAACCTGGACCTGGAACCCTGGACCCAGAACGCGAGAACCCGGGAACCCGGGAGCCCGGGAGTCCGGGAACCCGGGAACCTAGGAACCCGGAGCCGGGAACCTGGAATCCCCGAGCCAGGAGCTCCCTACGGTGCCACGAAGCGTCTGAGGGGTGTGCCAAAATGGGTGCGGCGCCCGCATGCGCTGGCATCTGGGCCTTCGGTGGAGCGGCATCTCGGGCCAAAAAACGTGTGAGAGGTGTGCCAAATTGGGCGCGGCGCCCGCATGCGACTGCTGGCGTCTGGGCCTTCGGTGGAGCTCTGTATAGGGCCACGGAGCGTGCGATGGGGTGTACCAAAATCGGTGGGGCGCCCGCAAGCGAGCGCTGGCATCTGGGCGTTCGGTGAAAATCCCTCTGGGGCCACGAAACGTGTGAGGGGTGTGCCAACATGGGTGCGGCGCCCGCGTGCGAGCGCTGGCATCTGGGCTTTCGGTGGAGTTCCCTCTGGGGTCACGAAGCGTGTGAGGGGCGTGCCAAAGCGAGGGGGGTGACAGGGGAGGAGGAAGGAGGAGGAGGGGGAGCAGGAGGAGGAGAGGAGATGGAGGAGATGCGGGGCCTGTCTTCTTCAAAGCAAGGACCCAACATCACAGGACGGTTGGGGAAAAGGTCTGCGCGCGCTCTCTTACGAGTTCGTGAGAAGGTCGTGAGTTTCTCAACTTTCTCGTCACATGCGGTCTAACAAGCCTCTCGCGCGCACACATCGGAATCATTCAAACTCCATTGCGCGCGTGCTGGGGGGGGGTGCGATACCTGTCAACTGATATCATGCGAGCAACTCGCGCCCGTCAGCCGCGCGCGCATGCCGAAATCCTCTCACATCCTTCAGCGCCGACGCGTGGACACCATCACCGTCATCGGCGTGATCAGCATCGGCGCCGTCATTTGCCTTGCCGTTGTCATCGTCATCGTCGCCACCAGCATCGCTACGATCATAATCGTGACTGCCGTTGTCGACGTCGGCATGATATTGCGTCCGCCCGAGTCGCCGATTCGCACTGAAGTGCCCGCGCGTCAGCCTGGTCTGCGAGACGCGCGGGGAACTCCCCAACGGTCACCGCCACAGCGGCCGCGTCGGTCGCGCCTGACTAGCTGGCCGCTCTGCGCGCGAGCCTCTGCGCGCTAGCGCGGCCGCAGCGCTACGACAGCCAGCGCCGAGGAGTCATCGCAATCGCCGCGGCATGGGTGTTGCGAACCAAGCTGCGGGTGGGTGGGTGGGATGATTGCAAGGGCAGTGGAGTTGACAACTTCAAGCTCGGCGGGGCGAATTGCGAGACATAGCATGGACCGAATGGGTTGCACTACAAAGATTGCAACGCACAGATTGCACCACCTAGATTGCACCACCTAGCTTGCAAAGCATCGAATGTACCACCTATTGTGCCACCTATTGTGTACCACCTATTGTGCACCACGCGGATTGGCCCATGTATCCAGCACCACATAGAATACACAACATATCTCGGAAATGCACCACATAGAATGCACAACCTGGGCTGCACCACTTGGACGGATATATATATATATATACACCTATATATATAGACATGTTCATACATACAGCTCGCACACGATAGGTTGAGGCGCGTAGATTGCACCACATGGATTGCGCAACGTATGCTGCACGACAGACAACCCACAACATATGTTGCAACACATGCATTGTGCAACGAAGATTGCACCACATAAGTTGCACCACTTAGGTTACGACACATAGCTTGCACCACACGGGTTGAGCCACCTATGTTGCACCATATGTATGCACACCATGTATTGCACCACGTAAGGGCACAACATCGATTGAGCAACGTAGACTCTCCACTCTACAAAAATAATGACTTCCCCCCCCCCTCCCGAAGCCGGAATGAACGATTCCCCTCGCGATATGTAACGTGCAGATGATTCAGACCCCGTGCCTATTTCACATAATTCATACCATCCCAACCCAGCCGGTATCGACCCCCCCTCCCCTCCCCCTTTTTCATCCTCTGAACAAATAATATGCGCGCACTCGTTTATCACACATCATCATTGCTCAACAACCACTTGCACAACTTAGTCTGGCGAAGACCCCAAACATATGCCGTTACGAATGCCGCAAAAAAATGCGTCGTCTTCCGTGGAGCTCCTTATGGGCCACGAGACGCTGTACTGGGTGGGCGAGATGCGTGCGACCTTTGGCACTGGGGTGTTCGGTGGAGCTCCCTGTGGGGCCACGGAACGCTGTACTGGGCGGGAGAACAGCGTGCAAGCTGCGCCGCTGGGACCCTCGGAGGAGCTCCCAATGGGGCCAACTGGGAGGGGGAGACACATGCGAACTGCGCCACTAAGATTTTCCGTGGGGTTCTCTATGAGAGGCCACGAAACGCTGTACTGGGTGGGGCAAACGCATGCGAACTGCGCCAGTGGGACCTTCGGTTGGCTTCCCTATGGAACCACAGAGCGTTGTACTGGGTGGGGGAGACGCATACGAAATGCGCCACGAAAACATTCGGTGGAGCTCCCTCTGGGACCACGAAGCGCTGTACTGGGTGGGGGGAACGCATGCGAACTACCTTCGTTGGAGTTCCCTCTGGGCCTCTGGGGCCACGAAGCGCTGTACTGGGGGGGGGGAGACACATGCGAACTGCGCCCTGGGGACCTTCGGTGGAGATCCCTATGGAGCCACGAAGCGCTGTATTCGGTGGGGAAGACGCATGCGAATTGCGCCACTGGGACCTTCAGTGGAACGCTGTCCTGGGTGGGGGAGACGCATGCGAACTGTGCCACTGCGACCTTCGGTGGAGCTCCCTATGGGGCCACGAAGCACTGAACTGGGTTGGGCAGACGCATACGAATTGCGCCATTGAGGCCTCTGGTGGAGCTCTTTCAGGGGCCACGAAGCGTTGTGCTGGTTGGGTGGTGGAGACGCGTGCGAACTGCGCCATTGGAGATTCAGGTGGGGCTCCCCATAGGGCCAAGAAGTGCTGTGCTGGGTGGGGGAGACGCGTGCGAACTGCGCAATTGGGACCTTCGGTGGAGTTCCCAATGGGGCCACGAAACGCTGTATTGGGTTGTGGAAACACATACGAACTGCGCCCTTGGGACCTTCGGTGCAGCTCCCCCCGGGGACACGAAACGTTGTGCTGGGTGGGGAGACGCATGCGAACTGCGCCACAGGGACCTTCGGTGGAGCTCCCTGTGGGGCCACAAAACAATATATGGGTGGGGAGGGCGCATACCAATTGCGCCAGGGGGACCTTCGGTGGAGCTCCCTCTGGGGCCACAAGACGTTGTACTGGGCGCGGGAGACACATCGAAATGCGCCACTAGGACCTGCGGAAGAGACCCGTATGGGGCCACGAAGCGCTGTACTGTGCGGTGGAGACGCATGCGAACCGCGCAGCTGAAAGCTTCGGTGGAGCTCCCTTTGGGGCCACGAAGCGCGGTGTGCTGGGCGGTGGAGGCGCATGCGAACTGCGCCACGAAGACCCTCGGTGGAGCTCCCTCTGGGGCCACGAAATCCTGTGCTGGGTGAAAAAGACGCACGCGAACTGGGACGGTGGGACCTTCGGTGGAGCTCCCTCCGGGGCCACAAAACGCTGTACTGGGTGGGGGAGACGCAAACGAACTGCGCCACTGGGACCTTGGGTGGGGGACGGGGGAAGGGGACGGGGGGACGGGGGAAGGGGAGGATGAGGAGCAGTATCTCTTTCCACATGCATATAAAAGCTAAATGTTTCGCTGTAGCTCTCGGCCTCTCTCTTACTCCTGATGTGTACGTTGTGTGTTTCTGTCATATGTATATGTGTATGTATATGTATGTGTACGTGCGTGTACACATATATGAACATGCGTACATAGACATGCACATGAATATATGTGGCGGCTTAGATGCCATTGAAAATTGTACATGCACCCCCCCTCGCCACTTCTGGCACACCCCTTCATACGCTTCGTGGACCCAATGGAAGCTGCACTGCAGGCCCCAGTGGCGGGCTGTTGCACGCGGTCCCCACGCTCATTTCGGTACACCCCGCACACACTTCGTGGCCCAACAGGGAGCTCCAACGAAGGCCTCGATGGGAAGATGTCGCGTGCGCCCCACCCTCGCCAGTCTCGGCACACTTGTCAATCGTTCTCGTGGCCCCAACAGGGAGATCCATGGACGGCTGCAACAGCAGGGTGTTGGGTGCGGTCCCCACGCGAATCTCGGCACCCGCGGCCCCACGGCAGCCCAACCCACGGCCTCAGTCGCACGGTGTTAGGGGTGCAGTGCCCCGCCCATACCCCGGCACACGCTCGACACGTGTCGTGGTCCCGCAGGGAGCTTCACCGAAGGTCTCACTGGAAATGTGTTGCGTGCGGCTCCCCTTCGCCCACTCTGGCGCACCCCATCGCACGGTTCGTGGCCCCAGTGGGACCCCCCCAAGGGCCTGCGTGGCAAGGTTTCGCATGTGTCGGCGCACCTCTCACGTGTTTCGTGGCCCCACAAGAAAATTCACCGACTACATCAATGGTGGGGTATCGCATGCCCCCCCCCCCCCCGCGCGCACCATGGCCCCACAGGGAGCTCCACCGACGGCTTCAGTGGCAGGGTATCGCATGCGGTCCCTCCGCAAGTTTCAGCACACCCCTCATGCGTTCCGCGGGCCCACAGGGCGTTGATTATATTTTCCTCGGCGCATCACCTATGAGGAACGAGCCAGATCCTGTGCTACTCGAGGCTGTGTTTGGTTGGGCCATTCGCCAGACTAATGCCGCTCTCCCTCTCTCTCTCTCTCGTTCTCTCTCGTCAGTCCAACTATGCATCCCTCGAAGCAGCGCACATGGGAGAAGGAAGGGGGGGGGAGGGGAAGAGGGCTACCCTCCGCCGCCGCCGCCCGTTCCTCGCTATCTCTCTCTTTCGTCCCCCTCCCCCTCATCACCAATCCCACTCTCCCCAGCGGGGCCCGCTCCAGTCGCCGAGGTAGCGCCATTTTGTCCGCCAGCCCCTCGAACTGCTCGGCTATCATCGCCTGGAGCCGCGAGAGCCTCTCGGCTGCCTCGGGCGAGGGCACCACGAGATCACGACGTGGTATCGCAACACGAAGCACCACGCCACGTCACGTCAACACAACTTACGTGCGCGCAAGAACGCATTCCCGACGTCGACGACGCTCGGAGATGGAACAACTGGGAAAACTGAGATGTCCACCTTCTCTCTCCTGCGAGTTCCCGAATCCGGACGATGCCTGTGCGTTCCCCCAACGTGCCAACCCCTGCGTCGCGAAGATGGCGGAGCCCGGGCTAGCATTCTCGCAACCGCCCACATGATAGACTGTACCAGACCGTCGCAAAACGCACTACTGTAAAAAAGCTGTGCCGTACATGGCACACTGCTGCAGCGTAACAGAAAGCACAGAGTCGTGTCGTACACCACCCGATTTTATGCCATACAATGCAACTGTCCATTGATCGGCTTCCTGATGTCCAATAAGCCAAAGACAGATCCACCATTGTTGCTCGTGTTGCAGACGGTAGCACAGTACAGCATGCGCCAGGCCAGTCATGCGCTGCTCCATCCCATGGTACAGCATGCGTGCAAAACGAAGTGAATGGACTGGGAGGGGGTACTATCATAATCAGCAGCAGGAGCAAGAGCAAGAGCAAGAACGGGAGCAGGAGCCAGACGAGGGACACGGGTAGAGATGATGATGCTGATGCTGATGACGATGATGATGAGGATGAGGATGCTGCTGCTGATGAAGATGTAAAGGTGGCGGAGGCCGTGTACAAGAATCATGATGCAGAGAAGGCGAACGAGAAGACAGAGGAAGAGGAGGCGGAAGACCAAGAGGAGCTCGATGACACTGTTGACGGGGCAAGAGGAGGAGGCGGAGGCGGAAATGCAAAAGAAGTAAGGGCAGATCCCCTTCGCAGCAGTGGAGCCAATCTCGAACATGTCACGATGATCAACGCACCGCAAACAAAAACTCTTCACCACAGTAGGGCGAACCTTCAAAAACGATGTTGAAACCACAGCATGCCCGAACGACTGAATGAAGGACATTACAAACAGAAAGCAACAATGCACGCCATTTCCTCCGCGGTGAGCTGGGCAAATCTTATGTATATCAGCGTGGACGCCCAACAATGGGCCCTTGCACTCTAGGTGGGCAAGATCTGTTGTGCACGCCATGGGGTGCAAGCTATGCGCGCGGGAGCAAAGTGGTGCATTCGATATGCGGTGCGAACCATGTAGCGTGAGCAGGGTGGCGTGAGCACTGCGTTGCAAGCCATGTGCTGTGAAGCCGTGCGGAATGAGCTGTTTGGTGAAAGCTATGTGGTGCAAGCTGTGCGGTGTCAACTATGAGGTATAAGACACATGGTGGAGGAGGAGGAGGAGGAGGAGGAGGAGGAGGAGGAGGAGGTGGGGGAGGGGAGGAGGAGGGAGGAGGAGGAGGAGGAGGAGGAGGAGGGAGGAGGAGGAGGAGGAGGAGGAAGAGGAGTGCAAGCAGCGCGAGGCGCCCACGAGGCGCCGACGGGCGTCCACTGGGCGAAGCCCAGGCAGACCCAGCTGGCCCACGGGGCGCCCTCGTGGGCGCACTCGGGCGTCCGCCTGGCGACACCCTGGAAGCCCCGCCCCGGCACCGTCGGGCCAACCATCGGGGGCAACCATCGGGGCAACCGTCGGGACAACCATCGGGGAAACCGTCGGGACAACCATCGGGGCAACTTTTTGGGCAACCATCGGGACAACAATCGGGGCAACCGTCGGGACAACCATCGGGACAGCCTCAGGGGCAACCATCAGGACAACCATCGGGACAAGCATCGGGACAAGCATCGGGACAAGCATCGGGACAAGCATCGGGACCATCGGGACAAGCATCGGGGCAAGCATCGGGACAAGCATCGGGACAAGCATCGGGGCAAGCATCGGGACAAGCATCGGGACAAGCATCGGGACAAGCAACGGGACAAGCATCGGGACAAGCATCGGGACAAGCATCGGGACAAGCATCGGGACAAGCATCGGGACAGCCATTGGGACAACCATCGGGGCAACCATCGGGGCAACCATCGGAACAACCATCGGGACAAGCATCGGGACAACCAATCGGGACAACCATCGGGACAACCATGGGGACAACCATCGGGACAACCATCGGGACAACCATCGGGACAACCCACAGGACAACCATTGGGGGCCACACCGGGCTGGGGGGGGAGCGGGCGACCTTTTGGGCTCCATGTGGCCTTTGCAAGTGCAGGAACACGCGCAGCGTCGCCTCGCCCGCACGCACGACACGAACCGAAACCGAAACCGATTTCCCAGTTGGGGCCACTTCCGTTCACACCCCCCAACCTTCGATTTTGGGGTCCATGTTTGGCGCACCCATATCGAGGATCGGCGCACCCCCTGGTATATCCCAGGCTTTGGGCCCAAACTGGTTGGGGAATTTGAAGCACAGTACCGGGGCCACCCAGAACGCAGTGGTGGCGCTGGCACGCGTGGCCGGCAAGGAACGGAGCGACCCCGGCAACTCCCCTGCCAAGGCGCCCTGGGGCACGACCAGGGGCTTCGCAGGCGACGGCGTGCACAAGCTCCTGGCCTGGTCGGGCCGGACACCGGCCCATGCGACCCTGACGTGGGCCCCCACGCACCACAGCGACCTCCGCTTCAGGCTCGATCAGCGGAGCGGCAGCGGGACAGGGCCCAGGTTGGTCGACCAGCACCCTCTGGGAGGGCTGGCGCCTCTTCCGCTTCGACCTGTTCCTGAAGGGCCCTCCTCCTCCCCCTCCCCCCCCTCCGCCTCCTCCGCCTCCTCCGCCTCCTCCTCCTCCTCCTCCTCCGTCCTCCGTCCTCCTCCGTCCTCCTCCTCCATCCGCCCTCCAGCCTCCTCCCTCCTCCCTCCTCCTCGAGGCGCGACGCCGCCCGCGCCCAGGACAATGCCATCACCACCGCCTCCTGCGACGGGCGGCGTGCGCAGGCCCTCCGGCCCCTCTGCAGGGAGTCGCCTGGGAAGGCGATGCGGGTCCTGGGCGGATCGATGGCGTGGCCCATGACGCGAGCCGTGGCCACTGGAGACCCCGGCCGAGGGTCCCGCCCGTGGTGTCGGCACGCGCCAAGAGCGCTCGAGCACCCCGCCTGGGAGTGCGAGTGTCCGGCCCTGGCGGCGCTGCGGTCTGCAGAGGAGGCTCTTCCGGCCGATGGGAACGTGCCGCCTGAGGGATCAAGACGATGACATCTTCAGGTGGGGGGCCGCGCTGGACGGCATCATCTTCAAGCAGAGGTGCGACCACGACGACCGCGTGCTGGTCGCAGTGGCCCCCATGGGACCGAAATTCGTTCTGATCTGGCGGGCTCATGCAGACGGACGCCGTCGGGGCCAAAGCTGGCCGAAAGATAAACACGCTAGGGGAAAAGGGTGGTCGAGGCTGGGGCGGCCTGAAAATTGCGGAGGCGAGCGAGGAAGAAGGGAACGTGGAGGAGAAATGGACATATAGAATAAGAGGAAGGGGGTCACAAGGAGGTGGGCTCTCGTCGCGCTTCAACATTCTACCCACACAAATTCCTCCCATTCCTTGCCCGCCCCCCCCCCTCCGCCCGCGCCACCTTCGGCGCCCTCCCGGCTCCCTTCCCTGCCTCCTCCCTCCCTTTCGTTTTTGACAATCGAAGCTACCCTTCGGCGGAAGAATCTGGGCTCCCGGGCAAAAGAACGCATGCGGCACTCGCCGCTTACAAGTTTGCAGCAGCTTTCCGGCAGGAGGGCGGCTCCTTTTCTTCAAGGTGGTTATCGCGTTAGCGCCGCGTGCATGTGCCTTCAACAGATACATCAGTTTCAAGAATACGTAGAGCTGAAGTTCCAGGGGTAGCGTTCTGGAACGATTTCGTGCTGTCAGGACGCAACGGTCACGTTGATTCGCGGTGTTGAAGTCCCACGTCTGGCATCCCTGGCACGATCAGTACGCACTCATCACGCTGATCTGCGGCGATGGAGTCCGGAAATTGTGCTTTGGCACGATTGAGGGTTCTGAGATGGCTGTCTTTCAATGGCAATCAACATGCATTGATGCAGGGACCTGCGACGATGGAACTTGGAGGCTTCCGCGTCACCTATGATCCTGAAGCTTGAACTCCACACGAGCTTTACGGATGCAGGGCGGGTGGTTTTCAAAATGTGGCTCTCGCCATCGTGCAGCGCGCATTCGTTACTCTAAGTTTACTCGGTGGAGGGCTGGTCTCAACAGGTGGCTCTCTTCCTAGCGCCGCGCGCACCTGCCCCAACAAATCGCTTCAGCGCCGCGCACACTCGTCACAAGTTTATAACAGTTGCAACTGTTCGTATGGTTGAAGTGCCATGACCCAAGATTGGTGTTCTGGCACGACTGAGTATTGCCATCACGCTGACGCGTGGGATAAAGGTCCCAGGAACTGTGTTCGGGCAAGGTTTAGGGCTGTGAGGACACAAGGGTCACGTTGACTTGCGGCGCTGAGGTCCGCAAAATGGTGCTTTGGCACGCCTGAGAGTTCTCAAACGGCTGTCTTTCAATGAAGCGCTTCAAGCAGTGAACATATTTCCTCACAGGGACCTGCGAAGCGGGAGCTTGAAGGGAGGCTGTATTGAATAATCGTTCATGCTCCTCCTCCTCCTTCTCCTCGGATGTAGCTAGGAGGAGCTCATGGTCCCGCAGGCCTTGCCACCTGCTGGCAAGCGCACCTGGCAAACTCGCACTGCCTCTCTGGTGGAATGGCGCGGGATTGCGTGACAGCGCATCACGAAAAGCACGTGCGCCGTGGGAAGAAGATCGACACGCGAGGGAGACATCAAACCGAACCTCTCCTCCTCCTCCTCCTCCCCCTCCTCCTGCTCCTCCTCCTCCTCCTCCTCCTCCTCCTCCTCCTCCTCCTCCTCCCCCTCCTCCTCCTCCATCCCGAAACCGGGACAAAGGGTCGGGGGTCCGTTCGCCTCGAGGTCGCCCTGGCCGCCGCCCCGGGCGTCCCGCTGGCCGAGGCCCGCCTCCAGCATGTCGCGGGCGCTGTCCAGCTCGCCGGAGAGCCTCGGGGAGGGGAGCGCCTCCTCCGCGTACAGTCATCGGCCTGACCTAAGGAACGATAAATAAGGAACGAAGCCCCTTTTTATCCCAAGGAATAACGCATAAGGAACGATGAATAACAAATACCGCATAAGGAACTGTAAATAACGCATGCAAGCCTAAGGAACGACCGAGCCCCTTCTGAAAAGGAAGTGTTCCTTATTCAAGCCGCTCACTGTACGCCTCCTCCCCAGGCTTGTGGATGCCATGGCAATGGACACTCTAACGGTCCGGTCATTGGATGAACGATGTGTCGTTCAGCATGTGCAAAACATGTTCTAGACATGTTTCAAGCCTGTTGTCTTGCGTGTCTAGAACCTGTTTGAAGCATCTGTTAGACATCTGGAAGCTATTTGGCAGCATGCTTCCTCTCCATTAATCGTCCTCCACAACCCCAAGGAGACTTGCCATCGCTCGGCCGTCGATTCCACGTGCATGTGTCGGCTTCAGGCGTGTACCGTTGCCCAGATGGTCCCAGGTGCTTCTCGATGATCCTCGCCGACGAAAAAGTGCACACGACCGAGCGATGCCAAGGAGAAGGAGGAGATGGGGGGGTAGAGGGGAGGAGGGAGGGGAAGACACGGACAAGGAGGAGGATGGAGGAGGGCGCGGAGGATCTGCTAGTTGGTTCGGGGCCTCCTCCCTCCAGTGCACATGTATATACGTATCATCCTAGAAGTGTGGATAAGAGCAAGGGGGCGGGCGAAGGGTGGGTCGCGGTTGGGTCACGGGTGGGTCGCGGGGTGGGTCGCGGGGTGGGCCGCGGGGTGGGCCGCGGGTGGGTCGCGGGCGTGTTGCTGGCGAGGACGACGGCAATGCAACAGCACGAGCAGAATCCGCCAGACAGAACGCCACATCTGCCACGCACCCAGGGACAATGAATGACCGTTCGGCCACCTCACCCAATCGTTCTATCTAGATACGCACATGTACCATGCATACCCATCCCATACATATGTATATACCGGTGGAACCACTCTGCGGGTGATAAGGAGGCTAAGGGGGGGAGGGGGAGGCGGTCAATGTGCGATGACTCCCACCTGCCACCACCAAAGAGTGCGCGGGCAAATAAATCCCACCTACTTCCACCTGCTTGCATTTAACTGATGTATCATCTTTCCATGTGTCTATAGACGTCCATCAATATATCTTTCTATCTGTCTATCCAGTCGACACATCAATCAATCTACCCATCGATCTACCAACCAATCAATCAATCTACCTGTCGAATCGATCCATCAACCAATCTATGAATCTACCTACCTCTCGGGACACTCACCGCGGCAACCTTCCGCTCATATCCCCCAACCTCCGATCTAAAGATCCATGTATTTACATATCTGTTATATATATATGTACCTATCCACCTACATATATATATATATATCTACCTATGCTCGGGACAACCGTCGAGACAACCATCGGGACAACCATCGGGAAAACCGTCGGGACAAGCATCGGGACAACCATCGGGACAACCCCATCGAAACCAAAAATCGGAACAACAATCGGGATCACAATGGGGAGAACCATCGGGACAACCATCGGGACAACCATCGGGACAACCATCGGGACAACCGTCGGGACAACCATCGGGAAAACCATGATCGGGCACACCATCGGGACAAGCATCGGGACAACCATCCGGACGACCATCGGGACAGCCATCATCGGGCACACCATCGGGTCAACCATCGGGACAAGCATCGGGACAACCATCGGGACAAGCATCGGGACAGCCGTCGGGACAACCATCGGGACAACCATCGGGATCACCATCGGGATCACCATCGGGACACCTATCGGGACAACCAACGCGACAACCATCGGAACAACACCATCGGGACAACCTCATCGAAACCAACATCGGGAAAACCGTCGAGACAACCATCGGGACACCGATCGGGACACCCATCGGGACAAGCATCGGGACAAGCATCGGGACAAGCATCGGGACAAGCATCGGGACAACCATCGGGACAACAATGATCGGGCACACCATCGGGACAACCATGTGGAAAACCATCGGGACAACCATCGGGACAACCATCGGAACAACCATCAGTACAACCATCGGGTCAACCATCGGGACAACCATCGGGACAATCATCAAGACAATCCGCGGGACAACCATCGCTCGGGCCGGGGGGGGGGAGTGGGGGTGGGCGACCTTTCGGGCTCCATGTGGCCTCTACAACTGCAGGAACTCGCGCAGTTTCGCCTCGCCCGCACGCACGACACGACCCGAAACCGAAACCGATTTCCCGGTTGGGGTCACCTCCGTTCGCACCCCCCACCCTCCGACACACACACACACATATATATATATATATATATATGTGATACCGGAGAAAAAACCAATCAAAGTCTTTTTAGGGCCATCGGGCTGTGGGGCTGTTGGGCTACAGGGCGATGGGGCTATAGGGCTATGGAACTATAGAGCTATAGGGCTATATGTCTGTATGGTTATAGGGCTATAAGGCTATAGGGCCATACGACTACAGGGCTGCAGGGCTGTAGGGCTATGGGGCTCTGGGGCTCAGGGGCTATAGAGCCACAGGGCCATAGGGCTATGAGTCTACGGGGCTGTGGGGCTATAGGGCTATATGACCAAAGGGCTTTAGGGCTGTAGGGCTATAAGGATATAGGGCTATGGGGCTATAGGGCTATAGGGCTGTAGGGATATCGGACTATAGGGCCATCGGGCAATAAGGCTATAGGGCTATAGGGCTATAGGGATATCGGACTATAGGGCTATAGGGCCATAGGGCTATAGGGCTATAGGGCTACAGGGCTACAGGGCTATGGGGCTATAGGCCTATAGGGCTATAGGGATATGGGACTATAGGGATAGGACTATAGGGCTACAGAGCTATAGGGCTCTGGGGTTCTGGGGCTATGGGGCTATAAGGCTATAGGGCTATGGGGCCATTGGGTTATGGGGCTCTAGGGCTGTACGGCTATGGGGCTATAGGGCTAAACGCGCTATACGGCTATAGGGCGATAGGGCACCCGGGCACCCGGGCACCTGGGCACCCGGGCACTCGGGCACCCGGGCGGGCAGCGGATATATACATATATATATGTCTATATATATAGACACATGTCACGTGCATGCATGTAATTATGCCACGTGTCTATATATATATAGATGCCACGTGTATGCATTTAAGTATGTATAACATGTATAGAACAACGTCCAGCAGCAACACATGCAACGAATCTCAGCGAGGAGTATTGCAAACGGGATTAGCAGAACCAATTCTGCATGCAGGTGGAAAGAGATGGCAAAAGCTGGGGAACATTTAGATAAACTGGCAGTGCTTTTGGCGCGCGGCGTGACGCAAGTCTACAATTTAGGCTGGACGTGCCCGTCAGAGGAGAAGGCGCAGCGCTGCTCGTGCGAGCAGAGAAAGCACCCAGGAAAGCATTGGAAGTAACTCGGCCTGATGCCCACTGCTTCGAGACACCCAACATTGCACGATGGGCGCATCTGAAGGAACACCAGGCAGGCTGACCTCAAAGCGAGGGAGGCGCGACGTAGCCCCTGACCGGATGGACAGGTCTGGGGTGTAGCCCGAGCTGCATGTGCAAGACTGAGAGAAGACACCGGTGAGGGCCAGCGGGGCAAGACTCGCAAGGCACTGCGCCGCGGAGGGAAGCCTGCAGAGGGCGGGGCAGAGGGCCGGGAGGGAGCGGCCGAAGAAGAGGGGCAAAGGTTGTCCCTGACTGTATGGCCAGATTCGGCCGTGAGCTAAAAGGCTGATGCCAATCCCAGGTGTGCACCGCGGTGCATCACCATTAGTGCCGGCGCACTGGACCAGGGGGAGCCGACACGTCGTCCCTCAGGCCAGGCAGGCTCAGCGCCCAATTGGCCGTGGGAACCCTGGAGGAGGCGCCAAAGTCGTCCACGAGAACGGCGCTCCGAGCCAGCCTCGCCTTCTGCGGTGGCGCCTGCAGCCCAGGGTGGGCAGCATCTTCGACGCAAGGCCAGCGGACTGGTCCAAGCACTGCCGGGCTCGGGGGCCAAGACGACGCCATGACGAGGGAACGCGAACCAGTTGCAACGCAGAACCCAAACGCCGAAGCGGTCCCGCCCAGCGTTTGCCGAGACCATGGAGAACCGGACCACGGTGGCCCCATCCAGGAGCACGAACTGCAGCAAGCACGAGGCACCTCAGCCGCTCCGACGCCGCCGATCTCGGTGCCGCGACCTCGCTCGCGCGTCGGCGGGCCCGACCGTCCTGGAGCACGGCACCGCGCTGCGGCGGAAGCGAAGGGCGCAGCGTGTCGGCCTGGCTCTGGAACGCAGCGGCGCCGGCTGCTCGACCTGGCTCGCCTCGGCTGCGGCGCCTCCCGGCGCCACCCCGAAGCATGTAGGTGCCCGCCGCCCTCTGGGCGAGGTTGAAGGGGCCCTGGGACACGCAAATTCGCCGGCCCAACGGGCCAGAGGCGTGCTAAGATCTCCGGTAACTGCTAAATAATACTTCTATTTCGCGCGCGCGGGGCGGCCCCTGGGGGTCCCCCGGCGAAAAGTACCCCGGGCGATCCCCGGCAGGGTCGGATCAGAGATGGTTTTGAGGGCATTTTTCCGACACCCCTCACGAGGATCGTGGCCTCCGAGGGGGGTGCACTCGACTGCCCCGCCCCAAGAGGCCCCCAAGAGCCACCCAAGAGGCCCAAGGGGGGCCCAAGACGCCCAAGAGGCCCCAAGGAGCCCCAAGAGACCCCCAAGAGGCCCCCAAGAGGCCCCCAGGAGGCCCCAAAGAGGCCCCCAAGAGGCTTCAAAGAGGCCCCATAGAGCGCTTGGGGGCCGGCGGAATGAGCGAAGCAATTATAAATTGACACAAACAGCAAGACCCCCTATATGTGTCTTACATGTTCTGTGCGTTCGTCTCCCCCCCTTCCCATATGTCCCTCTCTCTCTCTCTCTCTCTCTCTATATATATATATATATATATTCG